TGCGCCCTCATTGTGTATAATGGGGGTGGGGGTGGGGGGGGAGCATCCCCTCTTCAAGGCACTGCTTTTCAGTTTCATTGAACGTCCTCCCTTTTCTATCCACACAAGCCTCTAGGCAGGCAGGTGACTGAGAGGTTTCATGCACTCAATATTTCTTCCCAGGGAAAAGTGGGCTGAGAAGGAAGAGAAACTGAGGAAGAAAGTGAAGCAGGTTCTGAAGTGCGATGTGAGGAAGCCCAACCCTCTGGCCCCCGGGACGCTGCCCGCGGCCGACTGCCTGCTCTCCACGCTGTGCTTGGAAGCTGCCTGCAAAGACCTGGGCACCTTTCGTGCTGCCCTGAAGAACATCAGCTCCCTGCTAAAGCCAGGGGGACACCTGGTAATGGTGACGGTGCTGAAAGAAACCTATTACGTGGTTGACCAGCACAGCTTCTCCTGCCTGTACCTGGACCAGGAGTCAGTGGAAGAAGCCATTAAAGACGCTGGGTTTGACATCAAGTTCATCAAGGAGATTCAGGAACATTCCGCAAACACCTTTGCAGACTTTGGAGCCTTGCTCCATGTGGTTGCACGCAAGCGGGGCCCTAAACCAGCACAATGAGGAGCATTGCTCAGCACTGACACCAGCTCGAATCCTTGTCTGCTCTGCATCACACCTGGAAAATGCTGATGCGCAGCAGAGCGGGCAAGCCACTTTGTTCAAAAAATACCTTTTGCTTTTCAATAAAGTGGAGGGAAGCCTCCGCCAGCTTGAAAGGGTTATTAGTGCTCCCTACCACCTTTTTGGGGGGCCTGTCTCCTGCAGCGTGGGTGGGTTCAGTGGAGGAGCCAGCTTCCAGAAACAAGAGCACTTTGCTAGTGAAGTTCCCTTCATTATTAAAGAAAGGAAAGGGGAGGGAAGTGAGTGGGAGCCAGCTGTGCCTCAGAGCCCTGGGCCCTGTGTGCAGTGTCTCCATCGCTATGCTTGCACTTTCCCGCCAGTCTCAGCCCCGCAGGTGCCCTGCGCGCGGTGCGGAGCTGGAGCCCAGCCCTGGTCCGTGCAAGCCTGAAGGCGTGCAGCGATTGGCTGGGAGGGATGCCGTTCTGCGCGCCGATTGGTCCGCCTGCGATCCTTCGCAGTCCCATAGAGCGGGCAGGGCAGGGATGCGGCA